GGGGCATGGTGCCACGTAGCTTCTGCGTATCTGCTGTTCCTGCCCTGGACCCCCTGGAAAGGGATCAGCTTTGCCCCCAGTGACGTGCCACCGGCCTGTGGTGCATCACGCTTGCTCCTGAGTCCCCTGGCCTCCTGGGCTGGGCTTACCTCCAGATGTCATTGAGCTCCGTGGGAACCAGCTCTCCGGACTCAGTCTCAAGTGTGGCAAAGCCGCCGATGGCGTAGAGGGTGCCCCCCAGGCTGACCAGGCTGAGCGAGCTGCGCTCCTGTGGGAAGGCCTCAAAGGGTGCCCACCTGGGGTGCGGGGGAGACGTGCATTACCCCGGGGGCCTCTGCACCACACTCGAGCCCACCGCTTCCACAGCACCCCACGGAATGCAAATCCCAGGCTCCGCACTCAGCATGGCCTCCTGGTTTCCAGCTGTCAGAAGCGCCTGCCAAGTGCCCTTCCCAGGGCTAAGAGCAGCCCACTGTCCCTTGCTCCTTCCCTCCGGTCTTCACTCCCTTCTCCATTCTCTTGGCCTCCCTCTCCTCTTCCTCATCCCCTTGCTATTCCACCCAACCTGCCAGTGGATCCACCACGGTCTTCCCAGCGTCCCTCCTCCTCTGGACACTCTCTTCTGCTAACTCTAGCTCCAGCGTCACAGTCCTCTTGCTCCTCAGTGGCCATGTAAGCACCCATCCTCTGCACCCCTGCCCCACCCCCTCCTCTCCCTTCACGCCTGATTCTTCTCAAGATGTCTTCACTCCCAGGACCAGCGGTTAGCGCAATGGCTATGTCGCTAGACTCCCATGTAGTCGACCACGGTTCGAGTCCCGGACCCAGTGGCTTAAAACACGCTGGGTGTGTGTGCGTGCGTGCCCAAGATCCTGAGAGGAGAATAGAGGAGAGGGGATTGTGGTGTCGCCATTCCCCCTTGGGGGTGACTTCTCACTTTCTGTCTCTCTCTGTCTCTTTGGCGAGCGCACATGCCCTATAGCAAAAACCTCTAAAAAAAAAAAAAAAAAAAAAGATGTCTTTGCTCCCCTGGCTCCTGCGGTTGGGCCTTACCTCACCCTCATCTGTGCTCACTGAGGCCCCAGCTACTGCAGAGCTTTGAAATCTGCACCCTTCAGCACATGCCGCCACTGGTCACTGAGCTGCTCCTCGCCAAGACGTGACCAGCCCAGACGCCGTGACGTGGCTTTCTTCACCTCTGACCTCTCCAGTCTCACCTGCTCAGACTCCTTCCTGGGCATGCATATGCCCTCAGTCCCTCAGGGCTTGGACCTCTGTACTCTCCACTCATACCGCTCTCCTGAGGAGCATGTTCTGAGGCGTTTTTGACCCCCAGATCTCTCTCTCTCTCTCTCTAGCTCAACCCTCTGCCCCAGTGGCCCTCCTGGACACTCCAAGGCAGCTCACATCCACACATCCGAATCTTGTCTCCACATCCACACCTTCATCTTGTCTCCCTGTCCCTCCCGTGGTCCCAATAGAAGGCTTCCCATCATCACTCAAAAAAATCTACTTCTGGGAACCAGCAGTTAGCGCAATGGCTATGTCGCTGGACTCCCACGTAGTCGACCACGGTTCGCGTCCCGGACCCAGTGGCTTAAACAAACGCCGGGCGCGTGTGCGTGTGTGCCCAAGATCCCGAGAGGAGAATGGAGGAGAAGGGATTGCAGTGTGGCCATCCCCCCTGGGGGGTGATTTCTCGCTTTCTGTCCCTCTGTCTCTCTCTGTCTGTCTGGCGAGCACACGCGCCCTATAGTGAAAACCTCCCCCCCCCAAAAAAAATTTACGTTTCTCTCTCTCACCCCAACATCCAGTCCACTGCTAAGCTGTTTCTTCCATCTCCTAAGCCCTTGCTATTCAACGTGTGGTTCCTGGGCCAGCCGCATGAGCATATTCAGGGGGGTTGTTAGAAATACAGATTGTCGGGCCCTCCCCATACCTGAGAATCAGAACCTGCATTTATTTCTAAGGGAGTTTTTGTTTGTCTGTTTGTTTGCTTGTTTGCTATAGAACGTGTGTGCTCGCCAGAGAGTCAGAGAGAGACAGAAAGTAAGAAATCAGTCGCCGGGGGAATGGCCACACCACAATCCCTTCTCCTCCATTCTCTACTAGGGATCTTGGGCACGCACGCACACACGCCTGGTGTGAGTTTTAAGTTGCTGGATCCAGGACTTGAACTGAGGAGTCCAGCGACGTAACCATTACACCTTCTGCTGGACCCCAGAATCTGCATTTTACCATGCCCCCCAGGATGTTCACACGCCCAGCACAGCATGAGAAGCCGGGTCTGAACCTTCCTGCGGTGCATCCCCACAGCCCAGCAGCGGTACCCTTATTCCAGGCTTCAGCTCTTGCTGCAGCTGAACCCCGACCTCCCTGCCTCAGGAAACCCCTAATCTGCTCTCTGCCTCAGCTGCTATAGGCGCCAGAGTGAGACACGTGGGAGCTTAAAGCCTGTCCCCGGGGATGAAGTCCCTCGGCCCTGCTCAGCGCCTCCCCAGCCCAGCACCCACCAGCCCACCTCCCTTCACCTCCACTCCATCCTTAGGAGCAACGGCCTTAGGACCCTACCTTTTCCTCCCAACTGCCTTGGGTCCAGCCTCCCTTTGCCTGAGGCACCCCCGGCTCAGATCCCCAACCTGTTCAGCTGGCCAAGTCCAAATCAGGGGGTCAGCTGTTTTGCGTTTCCGACCTCCAGGACGGGCAGTGCCTGCTATGGCCCTGAGTTAGGACCCTGGCACCCCCTACCCCAGCCTTGGAGTTGCACCCTGCAGACCAGGCAGGTCATAACCCTTGTCCCACCTTGACCCCCACTTCAGCTGTGGTCAGGACAGGGACAACCCAGCGCTGATGCCCAAACCAGCAGCTGAGACTGCAGTCTGGCTCCTGCTAGGACAGACAGACGGGACTGACGTAGGCTCAAAGCCACCAGCTGTCCTGGGGGCGGTGGGGACAGGGCTCGCGAGCCTCCTACTTGTTGTCGGCGATGTTGTACACCTCAGCGGAACTGGTCAGCCCGGTGTCGGTGACCCCAGCTGCCACAAAAATGCGGCCATCGTGGATGGTGGCCCCGAAGAGCGAGCGGGCGGTCTGCATGGGCGCCAGCTCCTTCCACTCGAACTTCTTGGGGTCGTAGACGCACATCTTGCTCAGGCACTTCCTGTGGGGAGGAGTGGGGGGCGAGTGAGTAGGGGGAGCAGGGGCACAGCCACCCCTACCCTTGCCACCTCCCGGGGCAGCCAGGGCAGACCTTCCCCACAGGCCGGGCAGCCCCGGGAGACCCTGCGTCTGGGTCCATCCCACCCCCTGCCTAGGCACGCGGGGCCCAACCTCACTTGTCACTGCCTTTGCCACCGATGACGTAGACAAGGTCCATATGCGAGAGCACAGAGTGGCCATAGACGGCGTAAGGCAGCGGGTCCGACTCCCCCCATTTGAACGACCTGGAGAAGCAGATAGGGGAAGGGGAGGGTGGAGGAGGGCGGGCGCCCAGCTCAGGATGTGCTCAGCCCTGTCTGCATTCCCGCCACCCAGCACACGTTGGGGTGCCCCATGCATTACTGGAACTCCCCGGGCCTCTCGGCCAGTCCCACCCTCACGCCCCTCCTCACCCCACCTCTGCCCGGCCGCCGACCACGTAGATGGCGTTGAGAGCCTCTCCCAGGCCGAAGAGGCAGCGAGGCGAGGGCAGGGGCGGCATCCCCAGCCACTCCGAGTCCAGATGGTCGAACTGCGGGGCCAGGCATCCCGTCAGCTGCCCACCCTCGACCCCCGGCCCGGCCCAGCCCAGCGGATCTTGCCACCCCAGGGTCTCAGAGGAGTCGGGAGCCAGGTAGGACGGCCGGGAAGCTGCCCTCGGAGACAGGGCCCTTCCTGCACACAGCCACACAGCCGAGCTCCCTAACCCCAGGAGGTGCCCAGAGACCTCCATTATAGAACTGCAGTGGGGTGCCATGGCCACAGCGGAGGAGGGGTCTCTGAGAGGAGGTCCAGCTGGGTCTTCACCCTTTCCCAGGACAACTCCAGATCTGAGAGCTGCCTGTGCCCCCCTCCCACCCCATCCCATGGCCCGGGACACTTCTAAATACAGCCTCAGCCACCCAGTCCTAAATCCAGTGCACAGCCCCGACCTTCCACAGCCTGTAATAAAGAGCCCCGTGTTCATCTGCTCAGAAAGGTTTCTGAGTGCTGAGCGCGGGACGGGTCCCTTAACCTTCACACGCCCTTCCCGAGCAGGAAGAGTACCGCCCCCAGCGACAAGGGTCCAGAGATAACAGACCATGTGCCCATAGCGCTGAGCTGCTGACTGGTGCAGCTGCCCCCCAAGGCCTGTGAGCAGAACCCTGCTGCCAAGCCACCCTGAGCCCTCCCACTGGTCGGGCCTCCCTGACCACACCACTGTCCAGGCTCCTTCCTGTATCTGTCCCATCTTGCCACTCCAGGGTCCACCTGCCCCTTAATGTCTCCGAATTCCTCACTGGCAAGGCTCGACCCTACATGGCCAGACTTCAGGAATCCGTCCCCGGGTCCCACAGTCACACCCCACCTGTCCGGTTGTTGGGAAAGTCATGATGTATCTTTCTGTGCAAAAATGCATCTTGAGTTTCCGGGCAGCCCAACAAATGAACCCCTTCACGGTCCTAGTCCCTCCTGGGCCTCAGTGTCCTCCTCTGGATAAGGGAGGACAAGGCAAGAGGGTCTGTATCTGGGGCCCTGTGGCTCCAGCCATGGCCCTGCCCAGAATCCAGGGACCTTGCTCCTCATTCGCACTGTGCAGGGCTGGGGTCTCCAACCTGCGCCTGGTGAGGCTAAGATCCCCCTAATCGGAAGCGGCAACCTCATGCACCTCTTTGGTGGCTGTCTGAAACTGCTCCACCTTCAGGTTGTTCATTGGCTGTTGTCAATGTCCCTGGTCTACGTTCTCTGGGAGACACAAAGCCCTCCCTGGGCCCCAGGGCTGCTCCCCCACTCCCCCCCTCCAGTGCCCTTAAGACTAGCCGGCCCCTCCCAAGCCCGGCCAGGCACCTGCAGGAAGTAGGCGCTCATAGGGTCCTCTTTGTTGTCCTCGTTGTAGAAGAGGCCGCCGGCCACGAAGACCTGGTTCTCCTTGGTCACCAGGCTGACGTGGTTCTTGGGGATCTGCGTGGAGAGGGAGGCGCAGTAGCACTCGTTGGCTGCCGGGTCGTAGGCCACGGCGCCTTCCTCGCTGATCATGAAGATGAGGTCCTGCAGGAACATGCCGAAGCGCAGGGTGTCGTTCAGGATCCCAGGGAGGACACGCTCGGCGTCCTCGTCTGCCTCTGCCGGAGCTCCTGCTGCGTCCTTGTCGGCCTCCCGGGCCTCGGTGGCCTCCTTGTCCTTGTCCTTCTTCTTCTTGCGCAGGGTGGTGATGCGGCCCTCGTGCGCGTCCTTCACCATCTGCACCTTACGCAGCAACTCGGGCTGCGCGCGCACCAGGGGGTGGCGCTCCACGCGGCTCTCCAGGAAGGAGCGCGGCAGCAGGCGGCATCGAACGCTCTCGAAGACGGTGGGCAGCGCGCGCTGGCGCTCCGCCTGCGCCTGGGCGTCGCCGCTGGCCGCCCCCCTCATCACCCCCTCGCAACCTCCTTCTCCACGTTGAGGCCGTCGCTGGAGATGATGGCAATGAGCTCGTCGGCCGAAAGCCCCAGGAAGTCGTTGTCGCGCGCCACCAGCGTGAAGCGCGCGCAGATGAAGTCGCGGGCGGCCACGGCCAGGCGCGCGCAGTCCAGCAGGAGGCCGAGGCGGAAGACGGCCAGGCAGTTGGCGAGGCACAGGCGCTTCTGCAGGAAGGACACGCAGATGGTGAAGATGGAGGGGATCTGGAAGCGGTGCGCCGCTGCGAACAGATCCTGCACGCTCGCCTCGTCCAGCGCGATCTCCGACGTGTACAGGTAGTGCAGCACCTGGGCCACCACGTCCGGGGACACCTCCTCCAGGCGCAGCTCGCCTGCGCCCTCCGGCTCGGCCAGGAAGCGCGCCCGGAAGTAGGGGCTGCAGGCGGCCAGCACCAAGCGGTGACACGGGAACTCGCGCTCGCCCACGCGCACCACGCAGTCCCGG